GTAGATAATAATCAAGAATTTGAGATAGAAGAAGTTTTAAATTCAAGAAAACATTAAAATAGATTAGAATATTTTATTCATTGGTAGAGATATGATATTAATAAATATACATGAGAACCAACAAAAAATCATGCAAATGCAATAAAAAAGATTGATGCTTTTCATCAATAAAATTTATCAAAACTAAGATAAAGAATAGCAGATCTTTGCTTTAAAAGAAATTAAATTGAGGAAAGATAGTGAGATGTAACATATTTGGTATCATGACTTTGGAAGAGATTCTCGATGTTTGGTGATTTTATTAGAAGTAGAAACGACTCTTGATGGTATTTCAAATGTTTTATTTGAAATGAATTATAAAAGGCTGAATAATAATCAAATAATAGAGTAGTATTTTTGCTTTGATATAAGACATTATTAATGGCTGAAAAGACCTATCAACCATCTTCAAAGAAAACAAAGATTATAGTATGTGGCAAACATAATTTGCCGCATCTTAGATTTTTTCAACATATAATGACTGCTCCTCATAGAACTTGTCCGTAGAAGGAGAAATAATATCAGAAGCATATATATTTACTCTAATATTTATTTATATGATTAAATAGAAATAAATAAAAATAAATTGATTTCATAATAGTTTTTAGAAAAGCTTTTTAGAAGCTTCATAGATGTTGTTTTGATTTTACATGTGTTTATAATTGATTGATGAGTTAAAAAATTGATCAACAAGTTAGATACGTATTGATAGCTTACAAAACAAGCTAATTATGTCACAGAAATATAAAAAACTTATCTTACAAGTTAATATATGTATCTTACAAAGTCAACATATTTTGGAGGTCCTTAAAGACATCACTACATAGCTCCTAGTAAAGAGTATATATAGAAGCAAGAGTAAAGCCTTCTTCATTCTTGTCAATGCCTTTTTGGTCCATTGTTATGTTTCAAGTCTTCATAGTCTTCTAGTCTTTGGTAATAATCATTCTAGTTTAATATTATATCAACTTTTAGTGATTTTTCTAGTCTTTTTGAGTGCCTCAAGAATATATTGAAATTTAATTCTCTTCAAGATTTATATCCTTTGATAGATTGTGATATATATATATATATATATATATATAGATATGGAACAAACTATAATTATAAGTATATTTTAAAATATAAAAAGTCTTTTATAAACTTATAGATAATTCTATTTCTTTTATAGATTAATATATAGATATATATATATATATATATATATATATATATATATATATATTAAAATACATAAAACTTTGGTAAATATAAGAATCGATGTATTTCTTTAAGCAAAGAAGACTTCTTGTATTTTTAAGGATGTTTAGGTTGTTGAAATAACATTCTTATTAAAATAAATTTTATTAAAATTATCCTTATTAACATAATTTTACAGATATAGTTTTCTTTAAAATATCAATCAAAGCTTTGGTTTTAATATCTATAATAAAATAATTTAAGCTTTATTATAGATTAAAAAACCAATTTCTTTACTAAATAATAAATATATTTAGTAAAAAATATTACATCAAATTTATTTATTTTTAATATAAAATAGTTTTTTTTAGAAATCGATATTCTTCAAAAAAAATTAGAAATAACTAGAAAGAAGTAAAAATATACTAGATAAATGATATCTTTTTCATAGAATATTATAAAGTCTTCTTTACTAAAGATTAGATCCTCATATCAATTTTATTGGCCTATATGGCTATTCAAATTTCTCTTCAATTTTTTTATGGCTAAAATAAATCTCTTAAAAGTATTTTACAATCTAAAAAATTCAAATATAAATTCCAAACTAAGATCTTTTTTATTTAATGCAATAATTATTTTAAAATTAAAAATTATGAAATAAATTATTCTTGAGTCTTCTAAATATACTTTTATCTTCTTTTATCTTATATCAAATATATTCTTTTGTGATACATGACTTGATCTTTTTTATGTTTTTAGAATTAAATAATGTGATTAAGGTAGAATTCTAGTTATAATTATAAGAACAAAAAAAAAATGAAGATTGTCTTTACCAATTTGGTTGTGATATTCAATTAGTTTCTTTCAATTGATTATTTATTTAGGATATTTTTTCCACTTTTTTTTATTACAAGTTAGTTGTATTTCATATTTTGTGGCTATTATAAAATTCTTCTATTTTTCTTTTCCATTATTATCTAATTCTTTTCAAAACTTATTAATCATCATCTTTGTCATGTATATTAAAAATTTCTCAAGATTTGTATTTAAATGAAGAAAACAAAGTCAATATGTATACTCACAATTTTTAAAATTTGTCTTTATTTTACAAAAGATAAAGATTTATTTAATAGAATAATTATAAAAATTTCCAAATTTCTGTGTTGAAGGTGAATTTTAATTTTATAAAATTATGTAATTTTTTGAAATTTATTAATTTTTTTTTTTTTTTTAAATAAATATAGTAACAACACATATCTAAATTGAATATTTTTATTAGTATTTTTAAACTGTATGCTAGATGAAGTACTTTAAGTAAGCTATATAAGATTTAAATATAAAGCTCTAGCATCTATATAATAAGAAATAGCGCATCTTAATGAATACATTATTATTATTATTTGTTTTAGCATGTAAGTTCTAAATATTTTTAGATATTATATGTAATCAAAAACTTCTAATTTATAAGTTTATATTGGGGTTTTGATCTAAATAATATTAAAAAAAATTAAAAAATAAAAATTATTATTTAATCATAAATAAATAACAATAATATAAAAATATATTTTTAAAAAATATATAAATTAATATTAAGTGACAACAATATTAAAATTAAAAACCTAAAGGTTCTTAGTATAGTATGAACAATGACAAAAAAATCCTTAAATAAAATACATGTATATATTTTAATCTTTTTTCTATTTCATCTAAAAATATTATAAAAAAATAAGTATTATTAAAATTTAAATGTAATATGAGTACAACATAAATTAACATAGAATATATATTTTTTTAATAATTTTTTTGTTACAATATTTTATTTATATATATAGGTATATTAGGTATTATTAAATTAAACATAAAACTACAAAAAAAAAATTAATAGTTTTTGTAAAAGAATAAATTGGTTAGTTTCAAATATAATTATTAAGATAATGTATCAATGCCATTTTTAATATTTATTTTTTAAATAAAATTAATCATTAAATTAGTTTTGTAAAATAATTTATCTAATAATTATAACTTAATAATTTAAAGAATTTTTTATCTAAGCATTTTCAATCCATGTCAAAGTTCTTCTATATATATATTAAAAATTTACAATAAAAGCTACGAAAAAATTTAATATTTTTTATAAAATAATTTTTACAATAAAAATATATAAAATTTCAAAATACATCATCAAAACAATAAATTTAAAATTTATTATTTATATAAAATAATTTCTCTATATAATAAATATTTTTGCTTGCATAGAAGTATTCTAAGACATGTAAGTCTTAAATTTGTTGTGTGATCTAAATTTTTGTTATTTTGATTACTTCATGATAATAGTTATTTAGATATATGTGGAACAGGATATTTTTTTATAATTCAATGGAATTTACTAGAATTTCTTAGATTTTGGTTAAAATTTGTCAATTTAGCACCCCTAAAGCTACCGACAATATACCCAGCAAATGTTTGGTCCATTCACCAAGAAAAATATAACCTGCATCGGCTTTGAGTTTCACAATTTAATTTCAAAAAAAAAGAATTTAATAACTCAGAGAAAGGTAAATTTCATTCAATTGAGATGAAATAATCATAAATCTCACAATAAAATTTAATCAATAACATGCTCACCATTCAAAAAAAAATCTTAAAAGAAATCCTAAAAATAACCGAAATTTTTAAAATCAAATTCAAATCCTTGAATTTTATTATATACCACAAAATATACACCTCAAGGACATGGGAAAAAAGAAACATGTAGCCTGATGGATGTACTTAAGCCTCTTGAATGAAATCGAGTGGATGCACTTTCCACTCCTGGATGAAAATAACGGGATGAATGTTGTCAAACAGATAAAAGTATGAAGATGTATCTCGTAAAATGAATGAAACATGTTGGATGAGGAAACGCATCAGCAAGAGCACGACCCAAAGCTATTTTGTTTCAACAAAATTGGCCCATTTTGTTGCAGCGAGCGAGTGAGCGAGGAAGAAAAATACAGCAAATGCTTCACTTACTTCACTTACACACACACACACACACACACACACTCGGTGTTGCTATCGCCGCACCACACCCTGCCGCAGTCTCCTGCTGCTGCTTCCTGGACCCACTTTCATTCACTTCCCGCTTCATTCTACAGAGCCCATGTCATTCATGTACATACAATCCCACAATCACAAGATTCTCTCTCTGATGGTTTCGGAATTGAGAGACCGTTTTGGTTGTTACTGTGTCAGTGTTTCAGAGCTGAAGACGATGACGTTCCTCTTTAAAGTCTCATCAGGCGTTAGAGCGACCAGGAATTCGGGTCGCTCTGAAACAATCTCCCTATTATCTGGAATCTCCTCGACGTGAACAAGTTGCCAATCACCATTTTCAATACGAGAATTTCATTTATGCAAAAGAATTTTATACAAGTAATAATACATCTACTTGAAATTTTTAAATACTTCCAATGCTGATTTTATTGTTTGAGTTCACAAACTGAGGCTTTTCCTGTATGGGACCGATGTAACAATCGGACATGGCTAGTCCAAAGTATTATCCAACACCCATAATCTGGTATCTCAAAAGCAACACAGTCAGCGGTAATCTCCAAAATAACAAAAACCTAAGGATTTCCAGTCACTCTCAGACGTTGAATCACATTTTGGAGAATTCAGACATTGGCGTAATATTGACGACCCATTCAGGTTTATATTTTTTATTTTATTTATTTTATTTCTTTGATTTCGAAGTGATCATCCGACTTGACCACATCGGTTTCCACCCACGCCATCTAGATTAATTAGAGTCTGAAGTTTCGGTGTCCCAGATTGATACGAATGCACGTCATCTAGTGCTGCTCAGTTCTGATAGCTCCTGTTCCTGAATTGATAAAACGTGTTCAATTTTGTTTCATCGATTTTGTTGGCGTGTATTTTTTGGTTCAGATCTCATAGAATCGGTATATAACATGATCTCTGTTCTGTGGATTACGTGTCAATGAGTTGCACGCCATGATCATGCAGTCTGAAGGTTTGGTTACATGGAGAAAAGTTCATTGTTGCAATTTTATGTGATCACAGGGGCGAATCCTCCGGGGTGAGGGGTGATGGGCGGTGGGTATCCTTACGGTTAGTGATCTCTCCGAAACTCGTAGCCCTTTAGACTAACGAAGGAATTTATGCAGGAAGAAAGCGCTATCCAATTCACTCAGTTGGTGAATTAACATTGGCGTCACATCCATCATCTCCTCCTGCTTCGATGTATCGTTCGTTCTAGACGCATGTTTTGGCTTGTGGCCGACTTCATCGTTGGCTCTCGTAGCCAATTAGTTGCCTGTACGAGAAGTTCATCGAAACCGTAAAGCTTGAGTGAAGGCAAAAGTTCACTAGCATTCTGAAATGCACTTGATCGTGAGTAGTGAAAACCCTAAGGGGCAAAATAATTTCCTTGTGTTTGGGGTAAAATATGGACTTGCTAAATTGATTTAGTTCGGTCTGATGGCACTCGTTGGCGATGTATATCATTGCTACAGGTGGATACTCTGAAGATGAGACGAGGTGCTTCGAGGAGGTACGTCTCAGGACTTGATTCCCTCTGGCTAACTTTCTGATTCATATTTTTGGTAGAAATATGGCATTCTGATCTTTTGTTTTCTTGGAACGAAACGCACACCTCTAATCTAATGCATATCAGTGACCTGATTACCATAGCTCTTTGTTACATCGACTCTGGCATTACCTTTACATTCGTTTGTTGACGTCACGAAGTATGTCAGGGCTGTGTGGCAGTTTGTCAGATGCTCAACATTTTGGAATAATAAGATTGTGGGATACTCAACATCTCAAGTAATATCCAGTAGAGGTCTCAACATTCTGGAATAATAATCGCATTGTAGAACAGAAATTGTGGGTCGGGGAAATCTTTGAGCACTATGGACCATGGCTTAGAGGGACACATGAGTCTGAGATCTGGCTTGAGCTGTGTAGGACTCCCTTAATGCTTCGTTTCGCACCAGACTCATAAGTGCCTTCAGATTGTATAGATATAGATCGAAGATGCCTTGCAGAGAGATCTCTGGGCAAATAGGACACTGCATTGTAAGGCGCATGAAGAATTCGTCACTTTGGACAGTTACCCATTAGTGTCCATGCAGATGTTTCTGAGGCAATTTGAACTACCAATGTCTCATAAAATCCCGTGGTATCTTCCAGATTCGAGTGTCACAGCCTTTCATCGTCGGCATTCATCCAGGTCTGCAATTACTTCAGCAGAAGGTACCCAAGAGGATGCAGTTTGTAATGAATGGAAAAAAATCTCTGTGAACGTGTAAGTTGCTGTGACCGTATCTTAACCTCCTCTGCTCCAAAGGACTAGTTAATTAAATCTCACCCGAGTTCTACAACTGATCTCCGTGAAGTAATACAAGTCCAAAGTATCGAATTTCCCAGGGTACGACACTTCCGATGTGCTCGGATGTTCAGCCATTCCGCCGTTCTTTACTCTCGCCAATCATCCAGAGTGGTTTCGGAATAAGTTGCAGTACCGCACATCGCCGAACACGGTAGATCTACAGGTGACCATGTTCAACTAGTCCCCATTTAACCCAATTCGCATTAACCAGATCTAGATCCGGATCCTTTCACACAAAAAGCTGCTCATGCCGGAGGTCTCCACGGCTGACTCCACAGAAGCTGAAAATGATGTGGGTCTTATCACCTTATCCTCGATTCCCTTCCAACACTCAAAGCAGAAATGATACCCTTTGGTACACGTTCTGTACGTGAAGACGCGAACAACTTCCAGGCAGCGCCAACAGTGGGGGCCACAGGTGAAGTGAAAGCATAGTAAAGCTGTGGAGGCCATGCAGAACTTGGAACGGAGGAGGAGGAGACTGGTGCCATGAGCCAGGTATGATAGCATCGACAGCTCTGTCTCTGCTATTACATGACTGGACTGATGAACTCCTTCGCTCTGCAACAGCAGCAGCAGCAGCAGCAGCAATTCCTCTTCTTTGTCTTCATCCTCTTCTTCGACTTTTTGGCTGCCGAAATCAGGCAGTTCCTATGTAGCTGGTACTAGCTTTGAGGTTTTCCTGAGAACCTGCACATGAAGCCAGCTTGTGGGGGTAGTGAGACTAAAACTGTGGCATGAAAGTTGTCTTCTTCCTATCAACTTTCTTTAATGTTGTTTTTGTGAGATGTCTCTCCTTGTGCTTCCAACGTCTAAGTCTTGTGCCAAGTGGCTGTGGCCATATTCCATTCCTCCTTGTACAATGCTGGCTTTTCCCCACTCTCTTTTTACCCTTTGAAAACCACGTATTCCTTGCTGCTGGGTCATCACTGCCTCCCATTCCTATTGTAAAGTGAATCCAGTTCTGTACATTCGGAAAAACATTTCTGACAAATCAATAATAATAATAATAATAATAATAATAATAATAACAATAATAGTAATGATTTTCTAGAACTTCGATAACCTGAATTTCTTGGCTGTAAGCTTGACTGAGCTGCAGGCAAACACATACATATGTGTGTTAGGATCAATAAATTCATTAACTAAATATCAATAGTACGAATTGTTCCACACACAGGGCCTCTCACTAGGGTGCACTGTTATACTACACTGTCGCCAAGCCATGAGTCAATAATTTGTATTAAAATACTCAAGGTATTATCCAGTTTGAGTGAATCCGTGATTTCCAAAGGGTAAAAAGCAAAGAAATGCAAACAAAAGGGTCTTGCCACAACGAAGCAAAAGGATCGTGGGAGGTGTGAGAGCATCTTGAGCATAGAACTGGATAAGGGAGGAGAAAAAGAAAAGAAAAAGACAAGAAAAAGAAAAAGATCGCCCCAGAATGGAAAGATGCCCTTGACCTCCTCCCTCCCACGGACTGCAGGGCCAGGAGGAAGGGGCTGCCACGTGACGGAGTGCGGGTGACAGCTGTTGATCGGGCAGCATTGGGGAGGTCATATGCCAGCTGGGCATGGGGCATCCCATGCTTGCCAAGTGGACTTGCTGACTTGGACAAAGAAAGGGGGTCGTACCTAGTGGGCCACTCTCCCAAGTCCTCCATTCATTCCGTCTTTCCCACTTAGATTCTCACTTCCCTTTCCCTTTCTCTCTCTCTCTCTATGGGAGTGTTTGGTTGGTCACTTTTATTGGCTACATTTTGATATTATTATTATTATTATTTGCACTTGTTGGAGTGAAAAGTTTGAACTTTACATAGTAACAATATACATTTCATGGAAGATTTTTTCTTAATAAATGAACCAATCATGAGGGATCATGGTTTAAGGTATCTATCTAATACATGATTCTCAACCAACTTTGAGATTTCCAATATGTCTCTATTTGTTGAAGGCAACTAAGCGTTAATGTTTGAAGGCATTCTCCTCCATCAATGTAAAAATGTTAGGGTTTTGATGTCAACTCCAAGTCAAGAACATAAAAAAGCTCCTCCTAATTGAAGCAAACCAGAACTTAAGAAAGCTATAAATATATATATATATATATAGAAAGAACATGAGGGGGTTTGTCTTTTGCTATTAAATTTTGTAAAATACTAGGTCTTGTATTTCAAAGGTTAAGATTGAATATGACCTTAAAGGAAGGTGAATAGTTCCATCAAATCAAAGTACTTGCATTTAAAAGTCTTATTTGTTGTCTCTAATCAATATATATTTTTTGTCTTAAGTTTATTTTGAGATTCTCTTTTAGAAGATTTTAAAGTCTTATGGTAGTAAGCTTAAGCATATTTTACAAGGCAATGATAGTTTTTATTTTTTTTTATTTTTTTGATTTTCCTAAAACAAGCATCCACAGTAAAAGGCTAGAGAATCTTCATTTCATTAAATTAGTTAAGTATTTTATAAAAAAAATATTATTTAAAGATTTAGTTTGCAATACATGAGACATAAAAAAACATTATCCCAACTCTATGCTTGTTTGATTGCTGCACACTTTTTAAATATATCTAATACTATCTTCTTAATATTTGGTGCTCTAACAAAGATTTTATTTTATTTTATTGGTACCCATTTTTATTTATTTTCATAAATTTATTAGTTAAAATTTATTTTTAACAAATAATATATATTAGTATTATAATTTTTAACTTTTAATCTGTCATAGTTTTTTTAGATTAAATTAGTTTAAGAGTTGAGAGTCTTATTTTATAATGTAATTTAACTACAATAGGTAGAAATTTACTTTAAATATTTTTTTTTGTCTTTTTTGATGATACATTTTTAAAATTTTCTATTAAAAACATATTTTCAATGAGGTTTTGATATTTGGATACATTTTATATATAAAAATAAGCAAATAAATGGATTTGTTTATAGATTAGGAGTTTTACAATAAGATAACCTTATACTGTATAACATACTATTTGAAAATGTTTCTCTTTTTATAAATTACTATATGATTATAATGTGTTAAGTTGGAAATCTTTTTGTAATAGATAAGATTCTTTGATTACTAATTACATATCCTAAAGTTGATCCATGCTTAAAACAAAGATATTACTATTTCACTGTATGCTGCTTATTGGAATTTGGAATTCAAAATGAGGTTAGTCATTGTTTTTTTGAATATTAGATTGAACCCAATTCTTTCTGCCTAATGTACTTGCTTCACGTGTAAAGAATTATATCTAATATTAAATTAAAAAATAAAGTGTTTATATAATGATTGAAATTAAATTAATGTAATCCTTTGTTCAAAGAGGTCTTAAATGAATATGTAATATAAAATTTATTTTACTTGATTCCAAACTTATATAGCTTAATGGCATTCATTTATAAAAATATTTTCATTGATGACATTAGAATCTCCTTAACTCCATCACTGGTATTTTAATGTTAGAATATTTATAAAAATATTAGTACAAAGTAATTTAATTTGTATAGTTTATTGTTAAGTAGCTAAATCTTTGTCCAATACGTTCTATTCTAGGTTAAATAATTATAAATTTTTAACTCTTATTTTTTCTAAATTTAAAATTATGATTCAAAAACTTTGAATTTGGAATTTTAATAAAATTTTGTTCTCAATCTTGCTACTCCTTTGAAAATTAATTTAAGTTAAGATTTTTGTCTAAGAATATTTTAAAGATTGGATTTGCCAATAATAACATCTTTTAATATCTATCTAATTGATGAAGAAATTAATGTTGATTTCAGCTTCAACAGTTAAAATATTAACTTGTAATATGCAAATTTATCTTTGCTTCAGTATTAGTTTTTTTTAATCCATAAGAAATATTTGATTACACAAATTATTTTATATTACAATAAATTATTGTATCAAAGCTTAGATTATATAATTGAAAATCAAGATAAATCTTAAAAGATTAATCTGAAATAAAATTATAATATCATATTTTATTTTGAATTTAGGTGGTGTCAAATTTTTCATTTATAAAAGATAATAGCTCTAATAAAAAAATTGTTTAATAACATATTTTTTCTTTGATTTTATCTATTTATTTATTTATTTATTTTTCATTCAATTATTTGTCTAATATAGTCTGATTTTTTTGAAATTTGTCAAATTCACAAATATTTTTAAATCAATATAGAGATGTTATAAATTATTATATAAGTTATTCAGTATATAAAAAAATAATTTATTTTTATATCAATTTATAACTAGTTATTCTTAAAATTTTATGTTTTTTTTCCTCATTCAATAATTTAAAAAAAAATTATGTTTCATTTTGTAATATACTAAAAAAATTAAAAATTATTTTCTATTGACATTGCTTTAGACTTCAATCATAATAGAGATAATTTTATATTTTAATAAATTGTGGTCTAATTCTAAAAACTTGTATTGCATTAAAAATATATATTTAAAGAATATGCAATCTAATGCTTAAATAAAGCTTGATTGAAACCAAAATAAGTATTTATTGAATAATTTTGATTACAACATACTTCATATGCTATGACTGTGCTACCTTTAAATAGGAACATTTAACATGTTTTTAATTACATATGTTAAATTCTCTCAAAAACCCATATTAAGATTGTATGTAGTGGAATTTGCAATGTTTTGTAAGCTTTGTTGTATTGGCCATTACTTATTCCGCTCATTTTGCAATAACCAAGGCACCTAAAACATCACAATAAGCAAACAATCATGGCTTAAAGTAAATTGTAGATACACTATGTAGCTGAAATGGCTCTAGATAGAGTCTCTTCTAAGGTTGTGTGAACATGCTATTTGTTCCATGTAAAAGTTGAAGAAGCTAAGAATGACTCAAGCCTTGCAACTTTTATCTAACTTTTTAATAATTGGATAGAAGAAGAATGAGTACATTACATGTCTAATTAATTTATTGCTCTAGAAAATTTTCTAGTTAAAGTAATTTTGTAAGTTTTAGCAACTCTAGACTTAGTCTCAAACTTAATTTTGCCAATTTTCTATGGTTTTAATAAATGCCATACTTGCCTTATATTAGAATTACTTGAAAATCCTATATTAAGCTAATATATGTTAAAAAACATTTGTCTATTTTAAAAGTGACTAGAATATAATCAAATTATCCAAGATATATATATATATATATATATATATATATATATTAAGATTCATTTTATTTTATTTTTATTTTCTTATAGTTTTATCTTAGTTTATAAATTTTATTAGGATAGATTAGATTCTTACTATGAATTCTTAAAAATATCCAAGAAGTAGAATTTAATAGAATGATAGATTTAAATTTTACTTGTACATCTTTGTATATTATTTTAATATAATAATAATAAAAATTCTCAAAAAAGGTTTTTGAGGATATTTATTTTTTCACTTTATATTAAGTTACTATATAATTTTTATGTAATTTATTCTAATACTTGGCTAGAAAGATTTAAGAATGCAATGCCTGAGCTTGCTAGTCTTAATATGTATCTTCAATATTATTATGCGGTTTCTATAGAGATATTCATTCTTTTAAAAGGTTTTAATTTTATTATCTAATTATTTTTGGTAGATTTTACTAGTTATTGTAATATTTGTTAGATGGGTTTTAATCAATAGTTGACTAATTTTTGTACCTTAGTATAGATCAGAAATATATATTTATTTTATTTTGTTATATACTAGTTTAGATATTATAATAGTTTATTTGAAAGTTTCAAAATTTTAAGTAAATATTAATTGATTCTTATTTTATATACATTAATTTTTTGGCAATTGTATCTTATATTTCTATGCCCATTAATTAGGTTTACATTTATGTGAATATTTTTAATAAATTATAAGTTTTTGGATTAACATGCAATTTAAGGTGAGTATTCTGTGATGAAAAATAAATTTCTATTTGGCTACTTTTTTCTTGAATTTTTTAATTCATTTTTTTACATATATGTCTATAATATCTGATAGCTTTAATCATAAAAGCAGTGAAATCAACTCACTTCCACATATCGTAGATTTTAGGTTAGATTTTATTTTGCTTTAAGTATATCAAATTCAATTTATATTATATTAATAATCTTAAATTTATAACTGTTTTAGTAATAATTCTTGTAACTAATATTTTAAAATAATAATCCTCTTTAAAAAAATATGTTTTAATATTGATATGTTGTAATTACCTAAAAATATAACACAAAATCTATCAAGCTTTCTAAATACTATTATCTAATGTTTTTTATTATTCTAAAATATTTTGAATATTTCTTGTATAGAAGAATACTTTGACAAGTCTACATATTCTTTTGATTTATTTTCTGTGACTTACTCTAAAATTCATATATCTCCATATGAAATAAATGATTTCTTTTGAATCTTACTTTATTTTTTAAAAAATATCTAATAAATTATCTTAATTCCTCAAGTGCTATAGATCTAATATCCTTTTGAGTCTACTCCTTTTATTTGTCTTATTTTAATATGTGAATTTATTACTCAATATTGTAACTATAATATATTAAAAAAATTAACTAAAATTATATCTATATATATATATATATATATATATATATTATGATTTATTAAATCCATTTAATTTTTCACAAGGAGTCTATTAAGTAGACAAATTTCACTTCTTCTTGCTCTACATGTAACATATAAGTGTCTTAGACCATGTTATAATATGCACCATTTTAATTCTCTTCATAGAATTTGTTCTGATTTTTTTGCATCCAATTATTTGCTTAAGAAATTACTATTATAAGAGGTATAAAAAGATGTAATATAATTACATAATTAATGAACCTAATTTGAATTTTTTAAAATCTTAGATTATATGATAAAATAAAGAGCTCCATAATAATTAATTTATAAAAAAAAAGTTATGATACTAAAAAAATTATTTAAATATATATATATATATATTACCAATAATTTTAATTTTCACATAAGGATTTACTTAGTTTAGTGAGGTTTTATTCTACTTAGTTAGGTGAAGTCAACATAACTTCATTTGGTGGAAGAATTTAAGATCTAGTTATAACAAATGTTAATAAATATATAGTCTTGGGATATGACTACTTAGAAATTAGACAAACTAAGTATAAACCATTTAATTTGATTTGAAATAACTTCCTTCTAGGCTAATCTTGTAGATTGCCATATCTTTATTCTAAGTTTTACAAAAATATATCTTAGTATGTTAGGAGCTTAAGAGTAAGTATTATCAAAAATTACATTGTATTTTCTATTTCTTAGAAGAACTAGATTTGTGTAGTAAGGAAGTAATGCAAAGAAAGAAACAACTTTGTTGTAAAATCATTTGGTAGTGTGTAATTATAATAAGTTCTAAGTATTATAGTTCAAATTTGGAAAGTTAAGTTGTATAAAATGTATCAAGCTTCTTAATTCTAATATAAAGTATGGTAGTAAGAGATTGTGTGGAGAAAATAGTTTGACTAAAAAATACCAAAAAAAATACATTAGTCTAAAATAATAATAATAATAATAAAAAGGAATCTAATATTGCAATAATTACCCTTCTTCCAAAAACTACTTGGCAAGCATGTAAATAAATATTAGAAAAAAATCCCTTTACATGACAGAATAATTTAAAAGATTTAATTAAATTGGATACCCAAATTAACTCAAGAAATTCAAAAATAACATGTACCAAGAGGTATTGCATGTTATTAGTAATTCATTAAAAAGGACATTACTCAACACTTCTTACCTTTATTTTGATATAAAAAGTATTTGTTGGATGAATCTCACCATCAACAACAACAACAATCAAATGTAACCTATTTGATAGACTCACACGCATGCATGATTTGGACTATAAAACGACCATGATTAAGAACCAAACTCCAGAAACCCTAATTACAAAAGGGGAGGCAAACGTCTACCCTTGCTATCCAATGGTCCATTCTACACAGTTTCCACAAAATATCTCACATAAGCTGGCCATTACAAAGAAACAAAACTAAACTAAACCAAACAAAAGCGGTAATTAGGGATGGTGGGGAGTTGTGTGAAAAAGAGGGTAAAGTAAAGAAGGGGAAGGGGGAAGGGCTATAGGGGGGCGGCAAGGCCGGGCCTATATAGAGGGGGGTTAGTTGGCAAAGTCGGCACCAATGACACCCTTACTTTTTGCTCCTTTTTTATTTTAATTTTATGTATTGTACTGTTACTTTTTTGCTTCTTATTCATGTACTACTACTTTGTGGACGAATGACAGACTTTCCCTATACAGGAGGAGGACGGGGCAGCCTAACAGAACAGAACAGAACAGAACAGAACAGGCTCTTTCCCAGTCTGGTCGGTCTGTTTTCTTGCTCTTCTCTGTTCTGGCAACAGTGTCTGTGCCACGCTGTCATACTATACCCACGTGGCACCTGCACTGAGCTTGGGAATCGGAATTTGGAGTTTTTGATCCAAACCAGCATTTTGTGTCAGCTTTTACTTTAATATTATTATGGCTCACTTTTTTTTCATATTACATTCATTATTTTATTTGTGTTTTAATGAATGTGTGCTTCGATAACATCGAATTTGGGTGGGTCGTGTACAAAGGGTGGTGGTTCTGCTGGACAGCTAAGCCTTGAAGGTATTGGGTGCTGGATGGTCAATAACCCCACTTTGACCATTCATAAAATAGATTTGCTCTCCTCTTTCCTCTTAGATCTGTTCTTCCTTAGTAAACCATAATTTAAAGTAAAATAAAAATAAGATAGAACTACCCCATAATCCATGCTTCAAGATTTCTTTCTGATTCATAAAGAATCGAATTGATGACTGCATCTGTGAATTTTGCGTATTGCGTTCTGAATCACACCGTGTAAAATATCGGGATTCAACTCTTGGGCTGTACCATAGAAAAAATACAACATTCACAAGCTTTGTGTGTATATATGAATGAAAATACATATACATACATACTTACTTACACATATACATATATATTCTACAACATTGTTGGAAACCTTGTTAAAGATGTAGTGGCGAGAAGCGACGATGATTTGAACAACCAGTTTAAAAGAAAGAAACTCCAAAATCGAACTCCTACAGAAATCCATCACAGAACTAATAATCAGAGGCACTCTCATAAATCACAAAATTATATACATATATATATATATACATATATAGTTTCTCTTATTAATAATATTAATACGAAAACTTACAGCCATGACGCCATGTGAAAGCCATCGAATGCCCACCTTGTCCGTTCTGGTTTTGGTTTTGGCTGTGTTTTTTTTCTTCCCCTTCTCTTATCAGAAATTCCGGTGCCTTTGAATTTGCTTCAACAAAGTGGGTGTGGGTGTGGGTGTTGTGGCTGCAGCTCTGACCGCACAAGGACGCCATTACACACATGCAAGAATCAATCTCGGAAACCCAGCCAAAGAGAAAAACAATAAACAATAACAAATAATAATAATAATAATAGTGGAAGTGCAACAAGCTGCTACAGCAGGTGAGAGAGAGGGGGTGAATTTCGGTGCCGCTGCTGCCGCAGGAGAAGAATCTTCCCGCTGCGATGCGTCGAACAAACCAGGGCCACTGTGGGTCAACAATTACTGTGGTTTTCCAACAGTTCCGTGATGAAGGTTTTTGTTTTTGTTTTTTGTTTTTTTTTTTTTTTTTCCCTTCTTCTTGAAGTGTGTGCATTGACTATCAGTACTATATTCACAATCTTAGCTCCGCTACAAACCCACCCCCAACCTCGTCAGCTAACCTGTTTTCTTTCCCAGTTTTATTTTTATTTTTGTTTTCTTTCTTTCTTTTAACTTCACTCTTTTCTGTGCTTCATAATCGACAAAAGCACCGGAAGCTGTCGGACCTCCAGAGCCGAAAGGTGAGGAGTTTCATTACGCCACCCGGAAGCTATGGAAATTCGAATAATTTTTCTGGGACGGATTTGCAGTGTGCACAAGTAGGCGCATCGTCATCCTGGTGTATAAGAGCTGCTGGAGAGCTCCATCACATGTCAATCTAGTCTCTCTCATCTCGGTTCAACCTCCAGGCTGCTCCTCCTCCTCCTGCAGCGGGGCTCACCTTCGTAGCATTCGACTTTTTGCTGGGGCTGCAGCATTTGTGTGAGGGTAGCAGTGCTTGCTGTAGATTTGCAGAGCCTAGTTGCAGCAGCAGCAGCCAGCGGAGTTGCGAAATAAACCCATTCCCATCATGAAGGTTGCTTTCGGTGAAGCTGATGAGGTCTCCAGCCCGGACGCGCTCAAGGGCGCGTTGGCTGAGTTCATCTCCCTGTTTCTGTTTGTGTTCATCGGTGTGGGATCGGTGATGTCCTACGAGAAGATCCATGTGGGTGACTTGGAAGCGGGAGGTTTGCTCATCATCGCCATCGCTCATGGTTTGGCCATTGCAATCCTGGTCGCCGCGACGGCGAACATCAGCGGAGGGCATGTCAACCCTGCTGTGTCGCTGGGCCTCGCCCTTGCGGGCAAGATCACCATCATCAGGCTTGTGCTCTACTGGATTGCTCAGCTCTTGGGTGCCGTTGCAGGTAATGCTTCGTCGATTCACTCCCGTAACTAACCAAATCCATTATGTATAATTCTGTCCATTGCGATTGGTTTTAGGTGTCCTCTTCACATCAACTTACAAGAAGTATTCGACTAAGTCCGTTTCGCTGCTTCCGAGCAGCTAAAAACTTCTCGGTCAAGGATTTCACTTCTTATTACAATCATCCATTGAACGAATTTGGTGGTCGTGTAAGATAGCATTAGGTTAGCCCACTGGAGGCAATGCTCTGGACTCCGACTGAGGCTCTTTCTGCACTTGACATCAGATACAGCGAACGATCAGTTGCCTAACTCCGCGTAGCCTTTTAAATTCATCCCAGTCACATGCACAAACAGAAGGATTGTGTCTAGAATCAACCCAGGAGTAGCACTAAAACGCTCGAGGTGCGAGTTCACAGCTCGAAAACACGACGTAGCGAAGACAGTTAGCGCTTTGTCATTGCTAATGAACGAAGAAATTGTGTGTTTGTGCGTGTGTGTGTGAGCAGGTGCCTGGGTGTTGAAAATCGTGACAACCGGTGAAGACCTCGCCCGGCACGCAATCGGAGCAGGCATGACGACGTGGAGCGCAACACTGATGGAGATCGTGCTTACCTTCACTCTAGTGTTCGTGGTGTTCGCGACTGCTGTGGATCCGAAGAAGGGAACCGTGGGAGTGATCGCGCCTCTCGCAATCGGCTTCACGGTGCTCGCTCAGATCTTCGTCGGGGCGCCGTTCTCCGGCGCGTCGATGAACCCAGGGCGCTCCTTCGGCCCCGCCGTGGTGGCCTGGGATTTCACCAACCACTGGGTGTACTGGGTGGGGCCTTTCATCGGCGCTGCCCTCGCGGCGCTCATCTACGACGGCGTATTCATGTCCCCGGCTGCTCCTGAGGGCCACCAGCCCGTCCCCACCGAGTTCTAGACATCCACATTTCGTTGCTACGGCGACGCTGGTGTTGTTGTTTTCCTCCTTCTCCTTCTGGTCTCTCCACTCTCTCGCTTGTGGCAGTTTTGTCAGGAGATTCTCATAAACAAATTACTTTACTCTGGAGATGCGACGATTTGTGATAATTTGTATGAGTAGCAGCAGCTGCAGCAGCTTTTTTTTATTTATTTTTTTATGTCCGGGTGCACGCCAAGTGCTCCTTCTGTAACAACCAAAACCAACGTTATCAGTGTTCCAATGTATATGTTAGTTATCAAACTTTAATTCCACAAACATCTTCCTTACACTTTCTTTAATGTTCCCTCTCTCCAAAGCTCAGATTTTGTCGACATGGGTGCTGTCTGAAATGAGTGAACTTGAAATTTGTAGAGTTTGGGTGATGGGATTGTTCGTAGGATGAACTTCCGAATGAATGTGTTGCATGATTTTACCCGACTCTATATGGAGATTTGAGGTGTGTGAGCGTCGTTCGTGTTGCTTTCTCTCGGAGCAACTTGATGATAAGATGTGTGTGGAGTTTTTGTGTTTTGTGATTGTTGATTTGCCTTCTCTTCCAATGCTGTTCGATCTGTTCAACGCTGGATTATATCCTGCGCTGGTGCATTATTACTTGCCTGCTTGATTTCACTTGACTGATGATGATTTGACACCCAGTTATTATGTGACATTTATTTTACTGTATGTACGTATATATACATATATGTGTGTGTGTGTGTGTGATTTTGAACTTTGAATTCAACTACTATTCAAACAAAATCTTTAAAAAACACTCAATTCGAAGGTTGTATTGGAAATATAAATCACTCACATTGTTTCATTGTTATTGCATGAAATTGCCTGAAATTTTCCAAGTTCAAAGTTTTGGAATTTCTGCTTGATTATGGTTTATTATGCTTGATTGTGTACTTTAAGTGCATGTGAACTAAGGAGAGACAACGGATTTTTAAATTTGTTAAAAGTAAATGTAATTAAGCTGTTTGATCAAATTAAATATAAATAAATGAAAAACGGAAAAGAAATGAAACTTGTAGCAAAGAAGATTTGTGTCTATGTTTTGATGGTTTAGGATATCAAAAACTGTGTAGAATACAATGTCTACATTCTTCTTTGGATATTCGTTGTGAGGAATACTTCTACTCTTGACATTGGTTTCTACAATACAATCCTTTCAACTTACAACTATTGTTTTCAATATTCAACATGTTTAGCAGAGGTGAATATACATACATACGAAAAAATAATCATCAGTGTTTCCATCCATCAATCAGAAACTATCAAATCAATCATTCTAAGGTACATAATAAGAACGATAAATAATAATAAATGAGGAAGAGGATGAATGAAAGATACGCTTCTATATAATATAAAATAGAAAATAGGACCTGGGAATTGCGAGAAGGACACACACACCCAATAAAAAAATAAAGGCTGATGTACTTATCCCCCCCCCCCACACACTTGTCTTCAATGCGTCTTGAAAAAGGGGGTCTTATGCAAAATAGAATGAGAAAACAATTTAAGTACATAGGAACGTGTACAGAATAGAAGAAGAAGAAGAAGAAGAAGGAAAGGAAACAAGAAAACTTATGAATATAATATATTTTAAGAGAAAAAAAAGAAGAAAAGAGGAAAGATGGATTATAACAACAATAATTATATATATATATATATATATAAGATTGGTATGAACAAAATTTCAAAATTTGCAACCAAGAATGTATGCAGAAATTGACCTTTGTTTCACTGTTTATTGCTTTGTTTATGGTAAAATCCATGGGATTTGAACACCTTGCAGAGTATTTAACTAAATAAATAAACATATAAATAAACAAGTCCCAGCTTTAAGAATTTCCTAAACAAGACCAGGTTTTATATTCAAACTATTAAAAGAGATAAAAATTTAAAAAATTGACTACACAAAAAGAAAAGAAAATATATTTTATGATTTATTACGACAGGGGTGGCAGTTAACATTATTTTTTTGTATCTTATAGTTATATTATTATAGAGTGTTTTAATATTTCTTAAAGGAAATAGTTTTAAGAAAAAAATTAATTAAATATATAATATACAATTTCTAAAAATTATTGCTAAACTTTTTAAAAGGGCACATGTTGAAGCTCAACAATATGTAAAGATTTATTTATTTATTTATTATTTTTTTTTATTACAGTTGTTGATGTAGAGAGAATTATAATATACATATATATATATATATATATATATAAAGTCAAATTACATATATATAATTTGACTTTTTTAAAATTGCATAACAATAGCAATGAGTACAATATCAAGTTAAGTTGTTTAGAATAAATTAGTGCATAAAAAACATAACATAACAAGGAAGGAAGTCATAAAAATGTGAAGAATAACAAATCCACTAAGAGCAAAAGGAAAAAAAGAAAAAAAGAACTAGTAAAATAATTAATAAATTCTTTTTTAAAACTAATTGAGATGAAAAATATATTCAAGTTGCACATCACAAAGGGCTTTATAATGCAAGAAAGACACATGTGGAATATGACTACTAATGAGTGTACTATAGCAAAAATAAAATAAAATGGTATAAATAAAGTTTTGATGAATGCTACCAATTTTTCTATTTTTATTATTATTATTTTCAAATATAATTCTATGTATCACTTTTGAACCCTAGATGTGTGTGAAAAATGAAGCTAAAATTCTAAATATATGTGTTTGAAAATAAAATTCAATTCATGTCTTTGTATGCATAAAAATTAAAAGCAGTATTATTTAAGAATTTGGTTTTTGTGGTTTTTGAATGAATGTAAATATTTGATACAAAAGTGATTGAAGAAATAGAAAAAGAAAAGAAAAGAAAATCGCACACAAATTAAAAATGGTCATTTCAAAAAATTTGGCTCAAGCAAGTCAATAGAAATTGAAGAATACTTAAAGAAAACAAAAAGATTATATCTTGTTTTTACTAAATTTATGATATATCAGAAATAGCAAGGAAAAAGAGGAAAATATGATAATATTGGTGAACATCTTTGTCTTTTTCTTAAATCCTGATAAGCACATTAAAATCTTCTAATAGAAAATTTTCTCTTTGAATTTTTGAAATAACACCAAATTAAAAAAAAATGTAAGATGAAGTTGTAAAATGATTTAAATGAATTATCTAATAATTAAAAAAAGCAATCAACATAATTGCTACTTTCTCAGTATTTTTTCTATTATTGTATTAAAATACTAAAAAATCATGATCAATTGATACAAATATAAAACATCAGGGTCTTTCACGTTGACATAAACTTAAGGTGAAAACCGTTCATACAACGGCGAAAGTGAAAAAAACTCAATTAATCAAAAATTTAATCTTATAACACAACCATGAATAAACTTTTTGAATTTATTTTTTGAACCACTTTATGAATTTCTTGTAATCAATATTCAAGTGTACAATTTTTTTCCGCATAGATCTTGATACACCAAGAATAACCACATGAACAGCAGATCCTGAAGAGTGTTGTATGATTCAACAAAACAATGCCGATGCGTGTCTCAAGCGCAGCCTCAAAACCTTGAAAGGTAAAGATCGGTATTCACCGATTCTATTTAAAAAAATTCCATCACATTTTATCTGCACTTCCTACACAGCAAATCCAACATCAGAACGATCAAACTATGAATGAACGTCGCTGCATCTATGGAAAACAAGTATCAGCCAAGTTGGATTCTATGTAGCCCTTGAAGATCCAGGTTTTAGGGTTTAGGATTCTTACAAAGCAAAACCCTCATCCTTATATTGGCAGTGCATCCTTTTGCCAACACCAGAACAACTATCCTGGAGCAAGCTCAATGTAAAAAGAGACAGCGGCTTCAGAATGTGATCGTCAACTCCATCCTCTTTCATCAACTTGCACAATAGTTACAGGATTATTTGCAAGGATCAGAGGAGGTAACCATCGCCACCCTTGGAACCACAAACCCAAAGATTAACATCAGTATATTCATGCATCTTCAGAATTCGCACGACTGGTTAACTCCAAGTACATTCGTTGCATGGTTTAAGAGAGCTCCCTGATCATGTAAGTGCAACTTTACAGGAAATGCATCCTTGAACGTCGTCTTGAGCATTAAATAATACCAGTCCTGCGTGCTCTCTGTTGAGCTGAATCTTGTGAACCACAACTCCGTGATTGCACACAATACTGGACACGACTCGCAGATCAAGGAACCGAGGGGAAGACTAAATAAATTTATCTTGGTTAAGTGCGTCATTGGCAAGTCTTATGGGGAAGATTAGTGCGAACAATCAGACCAGGGAAATCAAAATCTGCAACGGTGTGCTCCTTGCATTTCTGATTCATTTGCAAAAACCATGCATCCTTCTCAAGCGAGCGTCGAGATAAGGACTGTCCTACACATTGTAGTAAATAAGGATAAAGGATAAATGGCATATCCTGAAACTTCACCACACATGACTGCATTCAACACATTGGGTACCAAAAAAAATAATGAACAGATTGTCTACTCTCCCATCGTGTGAACTCAAGAATCTCAAACTTAACTCTGGATTGGATTCCCAAGAGGCAGGAAGGTGTTCTGTTCCTGAAGTTCAATCAACAATACACAACATCTGCACAAAAGTGTTGGTCCTGGTGTTGCAAAAGATAAACACTCCAAAAAAAGGACTATAAGTACACTGTGTTTTATCCCAACCGCATTAGCGTGGTAATTGCATTTATTGCCTGGCTTACTAAGTTCTTATAGGATACACCATCGCTCCGGTGATAGTTAATGATGGTGTGAATAAAAGATCGGCGATTTGCTGGAGTCGCCGATTCCAGCAAATCCTTTCTTGCAAGGTCAGGCACCTGGTTAGATGGGCGTTCATCCAGGAGGACATCCCCTGCTGCACGATGGCGGGGCATATTGTGCCCTCCCACGAGCTGAGCAGCATATCCTAATTCCATCCTAATTCCATCCTAATTCCATCCTAATTCTGAACAATTCCAAATGTAGGCTAACACAAAGACAATCACTGTTTCAGAATTGAAAGGTTCACACAAAGGAAACAACTGACCGTGATGCCAACTCCAGAATACAACACAAAGTCCATCGCCGTTTCCATGCTGTCTGCCCAGCTATGACAAAGCCATAAATATTCCAGTGCGAAACTGAGGTACATGTATGATGGACACTCCATACGAGACCCAAAAACACGGAAAATTCATAACAATGAGATGATTTTTAGCTAGCCAGGAACTCCTCCACGACGCGGTCACGGTATCAATTTGTTACACAAGTAGGTACACATTCGTCGTCTTGGAGACAGAAATTCAGAGGTAGTTTTAAATGGTAGAATTTCTCTTAGTCTTTGCGTCGAGGTCAGCTTTCACTATCTTCATGGATACTTCATCGTGCATATATTCATAGATTGTATGTTGCAGAAGCCGGAGAACATGAACATCATGAAGAGATGGACAATGTGGACGAATTCATCCCGGTGCCGCAGAGGATGAGGAGCTGCTGTTTTGAGATGTGGTTTCGATCACAGAGCGCCGTCGATGCGAGCTGCCGTCCACATCCCTCGGGAAGAGAAGTTTTCTAGGGGGGCTTCGTCTGGCGGCCCTATTCTCTTGGTTTTTCGCGGGTTTTTGTTGTAGGGAGCTCCGTATTTTTGGGTGCCAGGATTGTTGCTGTTCCGGTGCGGTATGTTGTGGTGACGGCGGCGGTGTTGCTGCAATCTTGGTTTTGTTACGTTTCTCCTGTTGTCGTTCCGGTGGTCGACGCTCCTAGTGTTGCGACGTTGGTTTTGTATTCTCTTCCTCGCGGTCCTGCAGTTGGTGAGAAATCTGGTTTTTTCTTCGCGTTACTGTTCCGGTCGAGGGGGGCTGGTCGTCATTCAAGGCGCTTCTGCAGCGCCGTTCCAGGCTTTTCTACTTTTTGTTGTATTATTTATTGTCTGTGGCAGTCCTGCTTCGGAGTGTGTTGCGGTCAAGGCTGGTGTCCTAATTCTCGTTTTCTGCTGAGTTTTTGTTCCTCGAGAGGCTGCGGAAGCTCTTTTTGGTCTATGTCAGAGGACGTGATCTGGTTTCCGTTCTGCATCAGTTGGTCCTTAGTCAGAGGGCGAGCCATGCGGGTGTGCTTCGTAAGGTGCTGGTCGACTTAATTCGGCGCTTGTCTTCGTTTTCTTTCTTGTTGCTGTGCTTGTTCTTCTCCGACTGTTGTTCGGCTTCGTTCTTCTTCGACTATCGCTGAGTTTCCTATCATCGTCGTCGCCTTCAGTTGGCACTCTCGGTGCACTGGGCGTGTTGGCAGGTATTGTTAAATGGGAGAATTGATGTTCTGCAATTGGTAGTCAGACGTGAGTTCGCTGGCGATCTGGGTCTTAATAGCAGAAATCAGTGGTTAAATTTGGAGATGCGACTGTGACAGCGAACAATTGAGCAAGTAACTTGACGGTTTGAGTCCCTAACGACAATTGAGGAGAGGCAACGTTGTTCAGAATCCGTGTTGTGAAGGTGTTCGAAATATAGTACCGATTTGTTAGTGCTGATGAGCGAAGGTGGTTGTGCATTAAAACACATAGTTGTGGAAGTTCGGTTAAGTGTGGGATGAACTGAGTGTGGATGATCCAATTTGGATGAATACCTAATCACAGATGACACTTCTTTGGATGAATATTATTAATGGATGAATTCTCATTTGTGGATCATTTTTGCTCTTGATCATTTGGAGTTGATTGTAATACTGTTTGGTGTTTGGGGCTTGTTTGTTTGTTTTTTCATTGCCAATCTTGTAGTTGTGTTGTGCTTTGAATGTGGAACTTTGTCATGAATTTAGAAAGTAATTTTTTTTGTCAATCTTGAAGATAGATAGTACCTCTTGGTCCACCAAATACCTTATTATTGTCATCTTCATCTTCTTCTTGGTCCATCTAAGATCGTGTCATTGTCTTTTAGGTTAGCATCAGATTTTGTTATTGTCTTCTTGGTCCTCAAGATCCTCTTCCTTTAGGTTAGCATCACTTTGTTATTATCATCTTGTTCCTCAAGATCTTCTTTGTTGATGATACTTTGTAGTGGGTACTTTTTTATTTTTTGTTGTTTAGCTTGTCTCATTTGCCATTGTTCTCAACTTTTACTTTCATCTTATTTTTAATCACCATTGTTTTTGTTACTTGTGATTACTTGATGCTATTGTAATAGCAACTTATATGGTTTGCTCTCATAACAAGGTTTGCTTTGATTGTATGATTTTGTTCATTCTCTCATGCCTATGCTTTCAACACTTGCTTCTCCTTTTCTTTGTCATTGTTGTCAATGTTAGTATTTGTGCTATGTCAAGTTATTGTCCATCATCGCATGAAGGATTTTAAATTAGTCAAAGAAATGTTATAGAAGTTAAGGTGAGGTAGAAATAAGGAAGAGGATTTGAACAAATTGGTTGCATAGTTCATTAAAAAGTAGTTGAATTCTTTGAAGGCCAAGATGTACAACCTTTAGAATATTATTTCTACCCTCCATCTTGATCCCTTGTCTTATGTTCTTGAATTCTTTGCGTTTTTAAGTTTCTTATATTTTCAAGATCATGACAAATCAAAAGTCTCTTTTGATCTAAATTGCCTCTTGGCGTAGCATGGGAGGAGAGGGATGTGCTACACATGTGGGATCTTAAAATTCATATATAAATATTTTATTTGAGTGCTTATCTTTTATATGTTGAAATTACAATCATCTATTTCTTGCTACAATTGGAATTGACTTGGGTGTACTAAATTTGTGAAGAATTTTGATACATTGCAAATGCTTACGGAATTGTAGGATTATAAGGATGTTATGAAGTTTTGCAATAAGAAATTGGTGCATTGTATATGATCTATGATGCAAGAATATAGTTTTTAAAGAATTTTTGTAGAAAAAAGTAGTTTGTTGTATTGATATTCTATGAAATTTTGAAGGAGATAAATATTTAATTTTGGTATATATTATATCATAGTCAAATGTTGCATTTTGTAATATATTATTTTTTGTGGTTGTAATAAGATATTATGCTTATTATTGTAATTTATCCAATTCATTTATTAGATTTTGTAGTATTATGGTTGATTTTTTAATTTTGGAATGATGCTAGAAGATTTTATTCAAAAAATAATATTTAAAAACCATTTTCATACTAATTTATTAACATATTTAATTTCTTATTTATATGATTACATATCTAATTTGTTAAATTTTCAATTATTGTGATGTTTGATTGTTTTGTAACTAAGATTGTGATGGATTTCATAATGCGTAAAGAAAGAGTATAATCATTGCAAAACTTGCATGTAGAAAAAAAATAAGTTTATTAGACTATTGTTATATAGATTTATATAGATGGATTGTTTAATTTGATTTTAGTTTGTATAACATTATATTAGGATAGTTTTTGGCTAATATTATTCTTTTGTGATTGTATTAAATATTACTTTTGTAGCTCCAATTTCAAAGATCATAGATCCATGTTATTTTTCTATGTGATTGTGTGATTGATTTAAAATTTTGGAGGTGTCACATGAGATAGAAGATAGATAATATAACAAGAGGTTTGAGAAGAATGTGGTAGACGAAGATTATAAAGATTATTTGGTGAATATTTTGAGAAATGTAATTGTTTTAAAATATGTTTGAAGTCTTAACTCATTCTTTAGAATGTTGTAAAAGAAGATCATAGTTTTACTTATTAAAATTTATAACAATGAATAATATGGATATAAAATAAAGCTAATGTATTGTGTTGGTTGTGCAATTATAGGAAAGCATTTGAATAATTGTGCATATTAGTATATCACAATATGACAAATCTCTTGGAATTATTTATCAAGTATTTGGTCATAGTTTGGAGATTTATGAAGACTTTTTAAAAAGAATAATTTTTTAAAAATTTGAACTATTATGATGGTCATATTGAAGATATAGGCACTTTAATAAAGATGCACGAGATTATTAGAAACATTTAGAGACAATGTGAAATTTTAAAGAATATATTGGAGAAAAAGAATATGCTAAAGATAAAAAAAATATATTGAATAGAAATTAATGTATAAGTATTTGCAAGAAACTATATTTTGTTATATATATATATATATATATATATATATCAACATTTAATAACTTATAGCAACAAAGATTTGAAGTGTGGACTTGTATTTTGTGAATTATTTCTTATAGTGAAGAAAATTGGCTTATCAGTAAAGAATTATGGAGAAAGTAATTGATGCCAAGTACTTATTTTTAAATGAATAATGAAGAGAATTTTTTAGAATTGATTGGAAATTTAATGTGCTCTTATGATGTAGAAATTAAAATACCTTTGAAGAAAAATCCAAAAGAATTTGAAGGTTTCTCATTTCTTATCTTTGATGTTGCTACTTTTGATGAAGCGGAAGATGATAAAAAAAGCTTATGTGACAAGTTGAATCATGAAATTGGAGATGATAACTTAGAATACTTTGGATTAGCAAATTATTTATTGCAAAGATTGAAGGATGTGTGTAATATAGAAGATGGAAAATTAGATGTAATAGAAATTTCAATGAATATGAAACCTTTGTAAATCATGCAATGCTTAAGTGAAGGAAGTTATGGAAAAGTTTATAAATATAAGTTGTGGGGAGTTTTGTGTACAATTAAAAAGTTGGATGTTTACAATAAATTTTATATCAAAGAATTGAACATTCTAGCTAGTCTAAGCTACCATAACATAATCAAATATGTTTTTGTTATAAATTTTAAAAATAATAAAAGTAGATAAATAATTAAAGAATATAATTTAAATAAAGAATTACATTTGAAAATAAAATTAATGCAAATAAGTTAGATGATATGTTAAAATAGAAAAAAATCAATGTCATTTATATTTACTATTGATATTATTTATGAAATTGCAAAAGACATGTGCTATTTGCATGATATGTAAAATATTCATTGAGGTTTAAAGCCTAAAAATGTATTAGTTAATATTATCAACGATAAAATGTTGAAAAATCTTATTCAACATGCTACGATAAAATTAGTGGATTTTGGCATATCTAAGATAAATGTTAGAAGGTATCCAAAAGTTAGAAAAAACAATAATGCCCATGGTAGTATACAATACATAGATCTATAGGCATTAAAGAATACATTTGAAAGCACAAAGATGTATCTTTATGAAGTATATGTTTTTTCATTTGCAATAGTGTGTTCTAAGATTCTTTCAAAAAGAGATCCAATTGATGGTGTTTTCTTGAAAAGAGAGACATTGGAAAGAATACAAAAATATGAAAGACCAAAGCTTTCTTCAAATTATCATGAATTGAAGAAGCTCATCGAAGAGTGTTGGAATTGGAATACTTCATATTACTCAAATTTTGCAAATATTTGTATAAGATTCATCATATTAAAGAAGAAGATTCTAGTTGAGTATTGTTTAAATAATCTATTATCATTTTTGTAGAACTTGAAACAATATAAACCAAAACATACATTAAAAAAAAAACCTACAATAGATTGTTAACAGTAAAGATCTTGTAAATACTCAATATATAATAAGTATAGATTTAATTTGATTATTTTAATATAATTTTTATACAAATAAATTATGCCATAATGATAATTAATTACTAAAAAATATTTAGTTTTTTGCTTCAAATTAAATTAAAATAGAACTTATATAAATTTAAAGTCATTAAATTTTATATTTTTAATTACAAGCAAGTTGATATATCTAAAGAAAATTTATTGGATAAAAAATAATGTTTATTCCAAATAAAATCACTATATTTAAAAAATATAAAGGTAATATGTCTTGTTGGCATGGGTGAAATAGGAAAGACCATAACAATAAAGGCTACAATTATTGATGTAAAGCACATGTATAATGCTCTATGTTTTGTTGAAATTGCTCAAAATAATAGTAATAGCTATTAAATTTTTTGCAACATATTAAAACAACTAAAAGTTGAAAAAAAACCTAAAATTTTAGATGAAGCATAAGAAATATTAAAATAATTTTTTATTGAAAATTTCAGATCATTTTGGTCTTTGATAATATAAAGGACCAAAGTCAAATTGAAATTATGTTTATAGATATTTTATATACTAATAATTGTAGCACATTGATTGTGATTACTTGAGATTGAAAATCAATGGATCAATATGCTATGATGATTCACAAAATAAATATTGAAGAACTTGATGAAGTTTCATGTTTAAAGTTGTTCAATAGTTATTTATTAAGATGCCAAAAAAAGTTAGATAATGAATTTGTTGCAGTGAGTAAAAAAATTGTAAAAGATTGTAATGGCTTGGTTTCAAAAGTGATAGGTGTATTTTAAGGAGACAAAAAAGGTTGAAATATTAGAAGTGAGCTTTTCAAAGATTAAAAAAAAGAAAGAGATTTAGGTGGAAATAAATATAATAGTGACCATAAGATTTGGAATAAAAATAAGCTTTGATAATTTAAATAATATTGAAAAAAAAATGTTTTTTGATATATATATATATATATATATATATATATATATATTTAATGATGTATATCTATAAGGCATATTGAAAGAAAGAATATTACAAATATGGACTAAAAACAAAGAAGAAGAATTGGAAGAAGATATGAATTATATATTAGATACATTAATTTAAAAGTCAATGATAAAGATAGATAATAAAGGAATTTTAAGTATCTAAGATCAACTACAAGATATGGATTACATAATTATTGAAGTTGAAGCAAAATACAAAGGTACAAAAATCTGTAATATGAATAAACAACCAATTCATAAATTGAATAGACATGAGTTTTTTAACTTAACATAATTAGCAAATGAAGTAGGCAACCTTATATCTTTGACTTAGCATGATATATTTGATTGCTCAAGCTTTATATTATTGCCAAATGAAATAAGTAACCTTATATCTCTTACTATAGTTAAAAGGTCTTGGTGCTTAAGCTTGACATCATTGCCAAATGAACTAGGAAATTTTACATCTTTGATTATACCTAAAATATGTTGGTGTTCTAATTAAATACTATTTCTAAATGAATTAAACAATCTTATATCTTTAACTACACTTGGTATATTCTAATATTCAACCTTCTCATTATTGTCTTATAAACTAAATAATTTTATAATTTTGACTACACTTCATATATTTTGGTGATATAGTATAATATCACTATTAAATAAAATAAAAAAATTTTATATTTTTGACTTTAAAAAATTTATTATGTATTTAAATTTAATATTTTTTTTAAATAGATTTATAAACCTTACATCTTTAACTATTTCAGATTTATTCTAACACTTAAGCTTTAAATCATTATCTAATAGATTAAATAAGCTTATATCTTTCATAATATTATATTTTTTTAATAATTTAACTTGATATTATTTTCATATAAAATAAGCAATTTTACATATTTGACTACATTTGGTATATTATAATGCTTAAGTTTAATATGATTAAAAAATAGATTTAAAGACCTTAGAATCTTAAATGTATTTGGTATGTCTTAATTGTAAAGTTTGACAACATATTATTATCACATTTGTCTTACTTTTTGATACAATTTTGTGAAATTTGTTGGACTTTTTTCTTGTTCGTATAGCTGACAAATGTTATTTTTATAGGTTGTTCTACACTAAGCATTGTAAATTTGTAAATAAGACTACATTCCTTCTATCAAAAAATCCACCTAAAGATATGAAACTTTTGATAATGCTAAGAATGTAAAAAATATTATAAATTTTATTTATCTATCTTTGGTGAAATTATAGTCTTTTTTATAGCTTAAATTTAATGAAGTTTATTTCCAATTCTTAAATTTTTCTTCCTAAGTTATTTTTATAAATAAGATTTATTTTATTCTTGTTGCAAATAATATTAGTGGAAGCACTAAAATCCAAACACAATTCATCTTGATCCAATAACTTTATGATTTCCACAAGAGAGATTTTTAGATCCTTATATTTACTATTATTATCTTTTTCAGCAATAGCCACATCTTTCTTGCGTTTCTTATTAAATCAATATTTTTTGTTTATAAAATTTATAAAAAAAATGGCCTTTTGATCATAGAAATAATATATGAACTTAAGATATAAAACTTTTTGTGATTTTTTATTACCCTGCTTGAAAGTTGAATATGAGTTCTTGTTGACTTTGTGTTTTTGAATTCATATGATTAGTGTCTCTAAATCTTCTTCTCTAAGTTACAAGCTTGTAAGCTCCATTTGATGCAACATTCAAAGCAACAACCAACTTTGCATTTAAGGCATCAAAATAAGAAAGTTTTTTTTTTATGTTAGAGATGATAGAGATTGTGGTGTCATAGATGTGGGCTAATTTGTTGAGCACTAGGTAAATAACAGTTGTATTTCAAAGATCTTATTTGATGAAAGACATCTAATCCTTCATATCTTCAATAGTACTGAGATAATTCTTAATTTTCTCTCCTTCCTTTATTTTAATTAAAAGTAGCTTTCATGAGATCATCAAAAGTTGTAACATATCACTTGACTAAAATTTAGTTGATAACTAAGACCAATGATTTGTAGGATCGTCTTACAAATTACTTAAAAATTTATAATTTACTTTGTCACATTCATATTCTAAAACATCTAAATTCTAAGGTCAATAGTAAATTTACATATTATTTTTTTGATTACAATGGCCAATCTAAAGCCTACAAAGTTTTTATTTCATTCAAAAAATATATATATATCATTTGTAATATAGTGTTTAATAAAACAAAAATAAGCTATCATCATGTTTTAACCTATGCATCTATATTTTTTTAAACTATTTGACTTTTTTATTGCCAATCTAAAATTAGATCAATACAATCATCAGCTAATTCATCTTCTTTATGTCAAGTCACCTTCGAAAATAAATTCACTACCTTCTCTACCTTCAAAACTTCCAATTCTCTCATCACTAATTATATTATCTTCTTCTATTTCTTCCAACTCAAATATTGTATATCTTCTTTTAGATATTTCTTGATCAATTTCTTCCACTCTTGATTAAATACACTTCAAATTCTTTCATTAAATCAATTTTTCTAGCTACAAGTTTAAAGACCATTTTATTTTATTTTATTTTATTTTTTCAAAAAATAAAAAAGAAAAAACTTACTTCTCAATATTAACTTTTTTATTAACAAAAACTTTATTAAAGTAATAAAACTTGCAATTTAAAATTTTTTGATAGAAAAAAAAATCAATTCCATCATTACAAATTAAAGATAAGAATTTATTAATTATATTTTCAAAGAAAAAATACCTATCTATATTATGTTGATTTTTAAAAGCAAAAACTAGACGATTGGAAAACATTGAAAAATTGAAATTCTAAGTTATTGAAAAAGATAACAAATAAATCAAAGATAACTATTTTTAAATTTTTTTGCTTATAATATTTGTTAAAAAGCCATTTAAAATATTATTTTTCTAAATGCCCTCAAAAATAAAAACTACAATATTTTAACTTCATCTTTATTTTTTAAATAAACTTTTAATTGAAGAAGTTTACATAATTTTCATATGATATGATATCAAGTGCCAAATCCTATCAAATGTATGTAGTTTAGTTTGGTTAGTGATTTTTATCCATTGATAGTTTCATTCATTAATTAATTTTATTAATGTCAACTAAGATTTAAACATTTAGGCAGAAAAAAATCCTTGACTTGACATTCTTATCAAGTCAAGTCTTGTGAGTGATTTTGAAAGTAGGAAACCTTATTGTTAGGATTTGCTTGGCTATTGTGATTTAGCTATTTAAAAAAAGCTTTAGGATTTTTCTTATTTTTACTCTTATATTCTTAGATTCTCCCTTTGTGGTATAAAAGATAGCTTGATTTAGTTTTATATAGATTTCTAAAATTTTCTTGAGAGTCTGTTGATTATATATTTGTATTTGATTTAGATTACATACTTTGTGACTCGTTTATAGGACTCAATGTATTGTGTGTAAAAATCTTTGTTTACATGACATGATCATATTCCTTGATTTTGCTAATGCTAGAAAAATCTGCAAATTATCTAAAGTTCTATACAAGATTTGACAAGCATTTGGAGAATGATATAATTAAATTGATACATTTTTTTATATTAATTTGGATTACTTTATGGCAAAAAAGACTTTAGTTTATATTTCATATTATATAAAAATTAATAAATTATTATGATTTTTTATATAGACAACATTTTTATAGCAAGAAATAATAATCAATACATCCAACTTAAGAAAAGCATGATAGGTACCTTTAAAATGATGGTCTTGGGTAATGCTAAGTATTATCTTAGAATTTAGCTCTTACACAATTCTATAGAAATTTTTTATATATCACAAAATTTATATTTAAAAAAATTTAAATTAATTTTATATGACCAATTAAATTCCAATATTAGTCTCCATAAATCTCAATATTAAATTATAAAAAAATTATAATTCACCTTATATCCATCTTAAGACATAATAAAATTTTACTGATAGATTATTACATGCAATAATCACCAAATAGAACATATAATTTGTAAACAATTATGTCTCTGTATACTTCACAAATCTACAATTAGAATGTCTCATTTCAACTAAAAACATTTTTAAATACCTAAAAGATAATTTAGATTATAGAATTTTCTATCCAACATACAATCCTTATAATTTGATTATCTATATCAATATCAATTAGATAGAGGATTCAAATTTCAAACATTGAACTTTAGGCATTACATGCAAATTTAGAGATGCTCCAATCACATAGTCTTGCACAATACAAATTATTCTAGTTTTTTTTATTGATAGAAGCTAAATATAGAATATTATTAGAAACAAAGTCTAATATTATCTATCTTTGTTATCTCTTCAAAAAAATCTAGATTAGATTTCGATAATCAACATCTATTTTCTATAATAATATTAGTTGCATTTTCGTAGTAAAAAATCTTAGCATGCATGTATAAACCAAATATTTTAAAATCCAATAAGATAATATTTAAAAAAAAATTAAAGAAAAAATGGTTCAAGTGAATTTTATTTGAATCTAAAAACAACAAGTAGACTTATTTATAAAGCTCTTCAATCACACAAAATTCATATATAATAGAAGTCTAAAATATCCAATATACTTTAGTTGTCTTTTAGATATTTCTATACTTCTTCTACTTGTTTGAAGCTTCTATGCTTTGCTTTAAAATAGCCCTTAATTTGCTTCTCACAATTCATCTATATTCAATAGAGTTTTAATCTATATCCATTTTAAACAACATATATCTTTTGTGACTTCTTTAACATTTATTTATAATCATGTGATGTTTGATTTGCTATTGATTGCACTTTTTCTTGCTTTTCAACCTCAAACTTTTTTTTTGTAATAAGACTCCACCATCATCTATACTAGAAGACAAACAATTATATAATGGCGCATTAGCTTTAGTAACAAAGGAAAGATGAACATCAAATGATGTCATAACTTCATATTGCTCTTATTTACATGAAGATATCTTGTATTCACTTGAAGTTGCTTCTTATGTTTTTCTTTGTTCTTCCAAAAATACTAAATTTAGAAAAAAATTATATAAAAAATTTAACCATTACACACATTATACATGGTGCTTCTTTGTAAAGTTACACAAAGTTTTAATATTGAGCTTATAGCTTTTGAGTGGCACTCATCATACAAAGAAGCACCAATCAATAACCATAAGTTCAATATAAAAACTTGTAGCACATTCAATTCTTTCATCAAAGCTTTAATATGTTCTATCAATTCCAACTACAATAACCTTGTAAGTACTCTCACCATAGTATCTCACTTATCTCAATTTTTTTCACAAGATTTGAAAGTGTATGTTACAAGCTATAAGTTCTACAAATCCTAATTACATTATTAAAATAGCATTATCTAGAATTGGAGTTTAGCAGTAATAAGTTTTACTTGGTGATGACTATTGTACTATAAAAGAATTACTCTTACTTCAATAAACTCAATTGTATTCACATTGGTACTGCCCATTTTTGGATATGAGACACGACCATAATGGATGAATCGCAAGTAACAAGAACGAAAGATTACTATTCACCAAGTTTACATTCAAACTGTTTCACGCTAGTTGCATGTCTGCCGAGGTGGAATGCGCCAATCAAACTGCAGATACATTCTATCTTGGAACCCGACAGTAAACACTTCTTCCAAAACAGCTTAACTAAACTAATATTCACCTCCACGGACAGAATGGTAGAACACGGCAGCAGACCAACCATGTAAAGCATGTCTCCAAGCTCTACGAAATGGTTACTGACGAGCAATAGAGTGTAGATAAAAGACGGCTTTAATCATCTGCATACCCACCATGATAAGATTGTAAAGCCTAAATCAGTATCATTGTAACACCTTATAGATTGCTTTTCTTGTATTTCAACAGAATGCGCCATAGAACGCTTGAACCTGTAATTCTTCTTTAAATTTTTTAAAAAAGAAGACATTTACATTTTCACGAGAAGCTTGCAGCGCAGCATATGAATTTGATCGTGTGAAATGGAACTCACATGGAGGAACTATTTGAATCCGCTCAGTGGGGTGAAACCATCCACCGAAAAAGGTGATTTATTTGTGCCCTACAACAGCTTCTGAATGCGGGACATTGTACCGAAACTCTAATAGTTTCTCAGTAGCTTTCAGGAGTCCTGTTGTCAATATATAAAGTGGTCACAAAGTATCATTTAATGCACGTAAAAATAAATTACTAAATGTATCCAAGGGGTTAAGAAAACCTTCAAACACAAGCAACAACAGAGGAAACTACTGTACCTTCATGTAAACCAGAGTCAACCTCAGCAGCGCGTAGATCATTTTCTAAGTCGCAAAGCCTCCCGACATTCCTCTCGATCATCAAAGTGCCCTTTGATCTCTCCTATTATTTGATAAGTCTCATGACCTTTCCCAGCTATCACCTGCAACATATGGTTTTATGCGCTGAGTGGGCACAAGCAGGAATTCACAGTAACCAAATAATTACAAGAATGTCAATTCTGAAACAGTCTAATCAACCAGGAGAATCGTGCGACCTTCCCTCCAGTCATAGGTTGAATATTAAGAAAAGGACATTCAAGAAAAAAAAGTACAACGAAACCGATTAAGAAGTAGTTCTGGGGTTCCCCATAGATGTGAGAAGAAACGAAAGGTTACAACACTAAAAAGGAAATATGAAACTCACCACTGCATCACCTTCTTCTGCCATGGCCACAGCAGCACGGATTGCTTTTGAACGGATTTCTTGACAAAAAAGTCTGTGACCATTCGGAAGAAGTGGATAAGAACTGTCCTCTTCCCACTTGCAGTATTGTTCCATAGACCACCCCACACCAGCTAACATATCATCTATAATATCCACTGCAGACATTAAACCTCACACAAGAGAAAGTCAGGTAGATATATTGCAGAACAAAAAACATGAAACCTTTTCTTCAGACAGACTTGATAAGTCCATGGTAATAACAGTGACTAATGGTGAATGAATGCTTACATGGTTTTTCAGTTCTCGGGTTATCAGATGTGATGATACATACATCGCTCTTATCTGCAGCAATCTTGGCCATAATTGGCCGTTTGCCTTTATCTCGATCGCCCCCACATCCCAGCACTACAACCCCACAAAGCGAGAAAAGATGTGACAATTTGTTATTTGAAAAATTGTAGCAAAATCTGAAAAAACTTGATTTACTCTAAAATGATACAAAAACTCGTTGTAAAGAAGCTCATCCACGGAGAGAAAAATGCACCTGTGATGATCCTCTTTGGACCACATTCTCGGACGGTGTCCAACAGCCTAGCGACAGCATCAGGGGTATGTGCATAGTCGACAAGCACAGCAAACGTTTGGCCTTCATCGATCAGTTCACACCTTCCTGGCACAGCATCCACTGCTTCGATACCCCGAACAATATCCTCTAAAGGCGCCCCAACAGCAATACCTACACACGAATACTCAAGTTGAAAACACGTACTTTACTTGCTACTCCAATCCAAAAACGCCAAGAGTTAAAATGGAACAAATAATGTATCACTCTTGGTCTTTTCGTACATGCAGTCTTTTTGAAAAGTCGTGTAAGAATCTTACAGCGCATTTCAATTTCAAGACTGCCACAAATTTTCTAAATAAAACGTCACAAGACATCTGAAGTCTTAAATAATTAAAATTACTGCAGAACCATAAGAATCAGTTGAGAGGAAAGTAACTCACCAACTGCGACAGCAGTGAGGATATTGTACACATTGTGCCGCCCTAGCAGCCTCGAGGAAATTTCAACATCCCCCTGGGGAGTCCGCACCAGAACCTCGGACTCAACCAGTGACAGCTTCACCGCAAGAGGGTACACATCTGCACTCTTGTCTCCCATTCCAAAAGTGACAACTGGAACATCTTGGTTCCCTTGGGATACAAAGTATGAGACATTAGGATCATCAATGTTCACAACCTTTCTTTGCCGCTCGGGATCAACCATTTTTGCAAACAGTAGACCTTTCGCCCTTCTATACTCCTCCTCCGTCTTGTGGAAATCCATATGATCCCGGGTAAGATTAGTGAACACCGCTACATCAAATTCTATATCCTCACATCGCCCGAGAACCAGGCCGTGCGAGGAGACCTCCATAATGCACACTTCAGTTCCATTCTGCACCATACTGGCCATGAGATTCTGTAAGTTGAGAGCTTCAGGTGTCGTATGGTCCGCCTCAAGCTTATTCTTGCCGCCGATATAATACTGTATAGTACCTAGCAGTCCTACTTGCAACCCCATAGCTTCGTACAAACTCTGGAGGAGATATGAAGTAGTGGTCTTGCCATTTGTTCCTGTGATCCCTACCACAGATAGTTTCTTCGAAGGATGTCCGTAAATTACACCTGAGTAGAACATGACATATCCAAAAGAGGAGGTTTAACACTGAAACATAAACCTTCCAGAAGCGTAACAGAGTTTGATAGGGATGAATACTAGGAGGAGATTTTAGTACCGGCGAGTGCAGAGAGTATAACGCTTGTATCCTCGACAATCACAGCAGCCTTCAACCCTTCAGTTAGTGACACTTCCATGAGGGAAATGATTGCCACAGCGCCTTTCTCGATGGCTTGGATAGCAAACTGGTGCCCATCAGACTTCAGCCCTTTCACGCATACAAACAAGTCTCCAGGAGCAACGAGCCGTGAATCTTGCTGTATTCCAGTGATTTCAACGTCTAGGTCGCCCTCGGTGGAAAGGGGTGACACTCTCGCTTCATTCAGAAGCTTCCTGAGAGTCATTCTGTCTGTTTGATCCAGTACAGCCTCTTCATGAGTGGAGGATTTCAACGAGAAAGAACGATCCGTCAATTTCGAATCCCCAAACCCCATTTTCAACCTAGACCTTCCAACCCGCCCACTCAATCTCCCAGACGGCGTTAAAGGAATGCTACATGGTTTGTGGGAAAAAGAGAAATTCGCTAAACCGGATTGCGAAGATAGGCGCTCGCGTACAGCGGATGCATGGGAAGAATGAATAGAAAATTGTGCTAATAGAGGCTTCTGGATCCACTGGAGCGCCATCGCTGCCAAGCTCAGCCGGTGTATGCTTGCAAAGCATTCATATCCGCAATGTCGATCCAGCACCAGCAGGATAACTAGTCTAGACCTTCGACACTGGAGAGATTCCGCTTGGCGCAGTGTGGCCCAAGCTCACCTCGCGATCACCCTGCGACCTTCAGGTAAATCATGGCCTCCGCATTTCGCACGCAATTCCGACACGGATACTGGAGCTGGAACAACAACAACACCACCACCACCAAAAACAATGTTCGAAACCCTAAAATGTCGCAAATGCAGTTGAAAGCATAAAATTCAATGGCCTTCCACGTGAACCCGCAACTTATTCAAGATAAAATGGGACTTAGCAGCCTCCAATTTTAGTTTGATTCGACATGGATTTGGAAAGGTGGAGTTTTTGAATCGTATTCTTTGGGTAAGATTGAAGGGTTTGGAAATGATGTCTTGATTGACACTATAAATCATTAAATTATATTAATTCTTGATTAATAAGTGTTTATTAAGTTGCTTGTGTCTTAGATATAATAATAGGATTTAGTAGCTAAGTTTTTCTATGATGTATATATAATTTAGATTGTACTTGTATGGCTGGAAAATCATATTAAAATCATATTACTAGTTTTAAAAAATCATTCTACATCTTTTTGCTTCTTTAAATTTGAATAATAATGATATTGATAGTTTTTTTTATTTTTAAAGTAAATATATGAGATTTACAATAAAAAATTTCTTGCAATCATGGATTCATTTTAAGAATGGCATTACTCTCTAAAAGACGCTACTAATCTAGTTACTATACATATGGATCATAAGAACCTCAAGTACTTCACATTGATACGTATTCTAAATAGTTGCCAAGCTCGTTGGAGCGTGTTGTCACGGACACAGAAATACAGACTCGAGATCTAACAAGAAGTTCAAGAAGAACAGGCAAGAACTAGATTAATCAGATGAATACAAGAACAACACCAGAGAGGTGAGCTAGAGCTCTAAGAGATGTGTTGTCGAGACTGAAGAATTCTTCAGCCTCGATTCCAATATATACTCATGTTTAGGAAGCTTCTAGAAGGTTCCAGAGACTTGCTTCTAGAAGGTTCTAGAAACTTATCTCTAGAAGGTTCTAGAAACTTATCTCTAGAAGGTTCAAAGGACTATATCCCTAACATCTTCTACCAACTAAGAAGCTTCTAGAAGGTTCCAGAGACTTGCTTCTAGAAGGTTCTAGAAACTTGTCTCTAGAAGGTTCTAAGGACTATGTCCCTAACATCACCTCCTGCTTTAGCTTCGAGGTCTCTGAGAAGCAATGTTGTTATTAATGAGTACCAACGCAAGAAAATGAAGATCTGTCGCATAACGTCTGCTATGAACTCCAATTGTTGTTCACGAGGCAAGTGGTTCATCGGCCCTTGAAGCCAACGGTAGTGGCTGACTCCTTCAACTTCTGACCAAGCATGAACTTCTATGTCCTTATTGTGAAATTATCTTGTAAACACGCCTTCTAGCTAACCATCGTAAGCAGGCTCGGACTCAAATACAATCACCTGTGATCGGTTACTCAATATCCTGCGTCGTTGTCATGGTGTAGGCGGTTCTTCATCTCGAGATTGCCTTCGTGAGCTAGTCGGTTGAGATAATCTGACTGGCATAATATCTATCTCTTGGCTATCCATATCAGAAGACCAAACTATGGCTATTGAAAAAATTCTATTTTATCTTGGAGAAAATAACTACATCAACTACAAATTTTGGTGGTGCTCTCCCCTTTTCTTATATTCTTGGATGAGCAAGCTTCAGAAGGAAGCTATCGTCGAACCGGCTTAGGTTTATGAAGATGTTGTTGATGAAACTCCTGTACCTTTTGCGGTGCATTGGCGAGATTTTCAACTGGCTCCCACGTTTGCTCATTAATGTCATAGCCGCACCAATGAACAAGATACTCCAACTTGTCCCACCTTTGCTGTGAATCTAGTACCTTTTCGACCTCGTATTCCTCGCGGTTCTCGATCTCAACACTAAGTGGCGGACATTGCACTCTTGCAGGAAAAGACGACTCTTGATAAGGCTCCAATAGAGAAACATGAAAGACTGAATGTACCTTCATAAAGGTCGGTAATTCCAGACGATATGCCACTAGATTGATTTGCTTCTGGATGATAAATGGTCCCAATCTTCGATAGTCCAACTTATCACATGGTCACTTGGTCTTGATATTTCGTCGAAGAAGCCATGCTTTATCTCCAATTTTGAAAGTAGGTGCTTGATTCTGAAATCTATCTACAAACGCCTTGTAGGATTTTTGAGCGGATTGTAATTGAAGCTTCAACGTAGTTTGAAGCTCTGATAGTTGTTTCGTAAATCCTTCAACTGCTGGATTGTTATTTATTGATGGACTCAATAAATCAAGCTTCGGATGATACCCATAGTTGGAAAAGAATGGTGTGTATTGAATCGATGCATAGAAGGTGTTGTTATATGCAAACTCGGTTAGCGACAGATATGTGGTCCAATCGTCTTGTTGATAGTTGATGCTACATTGTAAGTATTGTTCCAAGACTTGGTTCATCTGTTCCGTTTGGCCTTCAGTTTGAGGATGAAAAGCCGAAGAAAGCTTGATATCCACCTTCAGTATCTCAAAGAAAGATCTCCAAAACTTGGATACGAACTGGGTTCCTCGATCTAATACGATATCATCTGCTAGTCCATGATATCGATATACATTATCGAGAAAGAGCCTTGCTATCACTTCACTGGATGATGTCTTTTTGTAAGGGACAAAGTGCACTATCTTTGTAAGTCGATCTACCACGACAAAGATGTTGTCAAATGAGTTCGATGATGGCAGGTCCATGATGAAGTCCATGGAAATTGAAGACCTTGGTCGACGTGGAATCAGCAATGGCTGTAGAAGTCCATAAGGGTGATGTTGAGGATTCTTGGATCTTGAACAAATGTTGCAGGAGAGGACAAAATCTTTTACATCCTTCCACATTTGAGGCTACCAAAAATCTCGAGAAATAAGCTCCAAGGTCTTGTTGAATCTAAAATGTTCCGCAGTTGGAAAATTGTGGCGAGATTGAAGAACTCGGAGTCGTGCTAGTCCTTTTGGGATATATAATCACTCCTTAAAGTATAAAAGATCTCCCTCCACCTTGAACTTGTCGTCATTGGCACGGTGCTTAATATGAATGGCTACTGAATCTTCAATGGTCACGGCATGTATCTGATTCAGGAAGTCAGCATCAATTGGCACAATAGTAGCGCAAAGCTGAAAATGCTCTGGCTTCAACAATGTCGTACATTGTTGATCAAATGCTGCTTCTCCAGCCTTTGGTACAAGATACGATCTCTTTCATAAGGCATCAGATAGTCCTTGCTGCTTTCCAAGTCGATAAGTGATAACAAAATCGAACTTAGATAGCAACATACTCCACCGAGCTTGACGTCGATTTAAAACTTGAGCCGACATGAAATACTCCAAATTCTTATAATCTGTGTATACGATCACTGGGTGTGTAGCTCCTTCAAGAGAGTGACGCCATTCTTGGAAAGAATCCACTATAGCAAGAAGTTCCTTATCGTGGATCTCATAATTGATTTCAGTAGCAGAGAAATTTCGAGAATAGAATGCAACTGGATGGAGCTTCTTGTCTTCTCCCATTTGTGAAAGTACAGCTCCTAAAGCAAAATCCGAAGCATCAATTTCTAAATAAAAGGCCTTTGTAAAGTCTGGATGTATCAAGATTGGAGCCGTAGTAAATACGGTCTTCAGGTCTTGAAATGCCTTCTCCGCTAGAGATCTCCATTCCAGCTTATCCTTGCATGTCAACCGAGTGAGAGGAGTAGCAACTTGAGAGTAATTCTTGATGAAGATCTGATAGAAGTTGGCAAAATCAAGGAAGTATTGTACGTCTCTAACCGTCTTTGAAACCTCCCATGACACGATTGCTTCCACCTTCTTGGGGTCCATCTTCAAGCCTTCTGTAGTCGCAACGAATCCCAGAAACTCCATCTCTATTTGGTGAAATAAACACTTCACCAACTTGACATATAGTCCTCGCTCGCGTAGTTTCTCCAAGACCAAACGAACATGCTTTTCATGCTCTTCCTCGTTTTTGGAGTATATCAAAATATCATCCAAATAGATGACAACAAAATCGTCAAGGTGCTCTCGGAAAATGTCATTCATCATATGTTGAAAGATCGCTGGAGCATTGGTAAGACCAAAGGGCATGTCATTATATTCAAAATGGCCATACCTTGTACGAAACGTTGTCTTCCACTCATCTCCTTCTTTGATTCGTACGAGGTTATAAGCTCTCCTTAGATCAATTCTTGTACAGATCCTTGCACGTCCAAGTTGTTCTAAGAGACCAGAAATCAAGGATAACGGATAACGATTCTTCTTTGTTACCTTGTTGAGGCCTCGATAGTCCATGCACATCCGCAACAAGCCATCTTTCTTCTTCACAAATAAGATGGGTGCTCTAGCTGACGATTTCGAATGACGGATGAAGTTCTTGGCTAGATTCTTGTCGATGTACTTTCGCAACTCCGCCAACTCCATCTACGATAGATTGTAGATTGGGCCAAAAGGCGGTTGTTCTCCTTCCTACAAGTCTATGGCGCAATCATATGGTCGGTGTTCCGGTAGCATGTCGGCATTCTTCTTTTGAAAGATGTCTTTAAAATCCTTATATTGGTTCGGTATACTTGTTGTCGAGATCTTCTCTCCGGTAGTTGGAGCCGCATAAATAACAAATGGTGTGCCTTCCTTGGACGATCTTTTAAATGCTCTTGCTCCAATGAATAAGGATTTCTCTATTCGGGGTTTTCTACTAGGCTTGCTCTTGGGTGGTTTGGTGGCAAAGGTCATCTTCCGCAACCTCCAATCTATGGATGGGTTATGCTTTTCCAACCAGGAAAGACCAAAAATAATAGGATTTGATGGGGTTCTAATAATATTGAAAATAATATCGCTACTATGGCCCTTAAACGTCACTTCTATAGGTTCTATTTCATAAGTGATACTACCAGACAATAAAGGTCGTCCATCTATGACCCCAACATGAACAGGTTTGGATTTTTATACTAAAGGGATCTTATGATACTTTGCAAATTCTTTGTCTAAGAAGCAGATGCTCCTGAATCTAATAATGCTAAGGTTCTCAGTTTTTGAGGGCCAATAAGCAAAGAGATTGTAAAGCAAAAGGCAGGTTGAGCGGAAAGAAAGGAACTTAGTTGATGTTGTAATATTTCACTGTCCAACCGCACGGTTTCTATTGTGGCTGGGCATCCTTGTT